GGGTGTGGATGAGTTTTAGGACTCTTAGGTCGGGATTAGGCTGGGCGAGCTCAGGCTACACTGGGCGTGAACATGTTTATGAATGAATTTATAAGAAATCAAGCTTTCTCATAATCACATAAAGCTCAACTATAAAGATTATCCCCTCATTAATATAATTTAACTTTTTTTCACATCATTGGAAGAGATTAAAAAATTAAAATTAATTAAAATCAATTTTAGGGCTAATAGAACTAACAATTGACTTATTTTTCCCATTGAACCTTTTTTATGTGATTTTCAATCACAAATGTTAGGTTACCATCATTGTTTGCTTCAAGTGACTTTAATAAAATCTCATTTCCCTCGATGTTTATAAATATAACACAATGTTTCGTAAATAATATATCTTTCCCAAATGTTTAAAGTCAAGAGATAGGCTAAATCCATTATTGACTACACAAGATCGATCAATAAATTTCAATCTTTAAACAATTGTTATATCACACCGGTTCTTAATTTTATATTCTCAATATAATATTTGCTAAGAGGTTCTCAACCACTAAGTCTCATATTGAACCATCTCTAGAGTAACAAAGTCTATAATAATTATTGTTTTATCTCAAATTAATTTCACTACAATAAAGTGTAATAACACAAGTGGATTTTTTTCTCATATGGGTCCAAGACTCAATTAATACAATGGAAAATCCACAATATTAAATACCATAATTTATGATATCTCTCTGACATATCATGATATCCATATAGAGGACACCCATATATAAAACTCCTCATGTCATAAATGAGTAACTTTTAACAAATAAAATGAAATTTACACCACTAATACTTGAAAGATATTAACTTTCATTACATGAATACAAATTTAATTAAGATACTGAAATCACTCAATTGTCACTAGTTATCTCTTACATAATGTTATATAGATTAACATATTGCCTCAAAAGTAAATAAAATATATAACCACCAAGTCAATTCAACAAAATATGAGGAATTCTAGAAACCAGTATCTAAAAAATATATAGCAAAAAATGTTCATTATCACATAAATTGATGCACACTAATATTATTATATTTATTTATACTAGTTCTTCTCACTCTGAAAATGTTTTCAAAAATTAATTGCTTACATCATTCACCAAATAATGTCTCCAAATTATTCTCTCACATCTTCTCATACATTATATTTATATCTTACTATAAAACAACAAATAATTTTTCTTGTGTATTCATGAAAAATAGTATTCTCAAAATCATACTATTATTAATTTCCTTATATTTTTTAATATAAAGCCTCTCATCATGCTAATCTCTCAACAATATATATTGTGCTAGAAATTTTTACATTATTTTTTTTTAAAAAAAAAATTACCTGCTCAATTGCAGACCTTTCATCCGCATAAATCAATCTCTCACATTGATTACCATGTTTTTGAATCACAGTTTTCTACACCAAAACAATTTGGGTTGCACATAGGTGACGTGAGTTTTGTGGAGCTAGTAGTAATAGCTTTGACGTGCTACCTCAACTACGGGTGGAGATAGTGGTTGTCATTCATTCTTTATCATTTTCAAATTTAATAATGAAGGTTATGGATATCAAATATATAAAGAAAAATTTTAAAAATTTACAATTATTAGTTAAAATGACCACTTTCCTATAACTAAAAAAGTTACAATAATACAAGACAAAACAAATATATAAATATGAAAAAGTTACATAATATTTGCGACATTAATCTTCCTATCCTATAAGTCCAAGATTTTTGGTATAAGGTAAAATATTTCAAGCTTAGAATTATGATTTTTAAAATTTATAAATCTTGAAAGCTATTATTCTTAAGAATCATAAAAATCTGTTTGATTGAACATAAATATTTTTAAAACTGTTTTTAAATGTTACTTGGGAATTCATAATTTTTATAGTATTAAAACTTTATTTTTATCTTAGAAAAGTTAATTTTTCACATTTGAAAATAATTTCGTGAAAAAATTATAAAAAATTATTCCCAAAAAATATTTTTTAAATAACAAGCCATATATGAAAAACGTACTATTCCTAACATCATATTCTTCAGAAAGTAACAATTTTTTATGTCCTAAACATCTCCATAACAATAGTAAAATTTTTAAAATTCAAAATTAAATTTTTTATTTAAAAAATTATTATTAATAATTATATATATTAAATATAAATATTATACACAATAATTAAATATGTATATTAGTTAGTAACTAAAGGAACTAAAATAATAACTAAACGTAAAAAATAAATAAAAGAATACTACAATTCTAATTGAATAAATAAAGTATTATAATTTAAAATTTTAAGTTAAAAATTTATATTATAATATAATATATTTTTATGTAATTTTTGCGTCTCTAGTTCATATATATTCATCCCGACAGATTTGAAATATAAGTAAAAAAAAATATTCCTAAGTATTATTCTCAAATATAAACTAATCTCAACTAAATTCACTTTACTTAATGTTATTATTTATAAAATACTCATTTATTTAATTGAGATTGTCTTTTAAATAATCATTTTTATTCTTAATATCAAATTTAAAAATTAATAGTTTATAGGATATTAATTTATTTATTAAATGAGATTAATTCAATTATATGATAAGTATTAATTAATTTTCTTTGTTAGGATGATTTTTTTTATACTTAAATTCAAAATTGGAAGGAACATTAAAAGAAATCATTTTTTTTATAATTATTATGTTGATAATTACATTGTCACTTCTAAAATTTTAAAAAAAATGTCGATGAAAATGTTATTTTGTCATATTCTAAAGAAAAATTTATAATAAGTCTTCCATGTAAATGTTGACTTTTCCGATAAATATCACAATATTATTGAAGTCTTGACAAAAATTAATAAATACTTTTCATTGTAATTTTTCATGTTATTATGATGAAAGCAAGAATAAAAATGGAAGATTATTCTTTTTATATTCATAAAAATTAGAATAACGATAATAGAGAGATATTTTATAGTAAATTATTTATTACATTTTTCTTGGTAAATAATTAATATATATATATATATATATATGTGGCCTCTTTGGGCTGATGTCCATGTTTCATGGTCGAGCTGAGGAACTCAGCACTCATGAGTTTACTGCTTGGTTAGGCTGGTAAACCTTTGACTGAGTCAGCAGATTGGTGAGGGACAAGTTGGCAACTCGGCTGACCAGTACACTTGCCCCCCAAGCACCGAGTGATGTAAGAGCAAATGGGCTTTTGAGGAGCTCCCAAATTTGTTGTTTGAAGGTTCAAATTTGACCTTGTTAAGTAGATGTGATCTTCAAGGTTCGAGCTCGACCTTGGTTAAAAAAATGTGATCTCAAGGTTCGGATTCGACCTTGGCATATCAAGGTTCGAACTCGACCTTGGTTAAGAAAATGTAGTCTCAAGGTTCGGACTCGACCTTGGCATAACAAGGTTCGAACTCGACCTTTATGTCAAGGTTCGAACTCGACCTTGGCATATCAAGGTTCAAACTCGACCTTGGTTAAGAAAATGTAGACTCAAGGTTTGGACTCGACCTCGGCATAAAAAGGTTCGAACTCGACCATTATGTCAAGGTTCGAACTCGACCTTGGCATATCAAGGTTCGAACTCGACCTTGGTTAAGAAAATGTGATCTCAAGGTTCGGACTCGACCTTGGCATATCAAGGTTC